ACGATCTCCATCAGAGGGAAAGCTAGGGAAATGGTTAATTTCAAAGGCAAGCAACTGATTGGGGGAAGAATCTATAGAATGATTTATTTCCTTTTTTAAAAAAAAACCCTGAAAATTCAAAAACCACTTGGAAAGAATAAGAGTCTAATCCTGACAGGTTGATTTTTCAAGACCCCCTCAATGAAACTTTAGCATGCCTGTCCCTTCTCCCCTCTTTCAGTCCCAGCTCACTCCCTCTCTCTCCTGCAGCTATTTTATGCAGGTACAATGGATTCTCAGTTGTCTACCTGGCTTTTCTGCTTCTGACTCCTCTAGTCCCCACACCTTCGGCCAGTTCCATGAGAGGTAGGCCAGCCTTTCCAGGTGAGCAGAACTGTACACTGAACCTGTGGACGCCATTGTCCAGCCCTGTTCCAAGATAGCCTTTCTACGGCTATTGGCTTGGACTCGAGTTTCCCCATCTTCCTAGGGGTCAGTGTTAAATACTCCATAATGTTCCATTTTACACAGGGCACAGAGGAGTAGCGAAACATCTTTTATTAAAATAAATGCCATGGAGCCAGCAGTTGGCGTAATGGCTATGTTGCTGGACTCCCACGTAGTCGACCGTGGTTTGAGTCCTGAACCCGGTGGCTTAAACTCACACTGGGCACATGTGCGTGTGTGCCCAAGATCCCAAGAGGAGAATGGAGGAGAAGGGAATGCAGCGTGGCCATCCCCCCGGGGGGGGGATGATTTCTCACTTTCTGTCTCTGTCTCTCTGGCGAGTGCACACACCCTATAGCAAAAAAAGAAAAAAATAAAATAAATGCTGCACAGTGAAGAGGGAAGATGGAGGAACAGGAGCTGTCTATCCCACCACAGGCCGAAGCACTGTTCTGGTCTATTCATTCGAGAAGCCAAGCCCTAGATTCTGGGTTTTATAAACCAATTAAAACTTAAATAAAAATAGCAATGGAGGTTGACACTGTGTCGTTTATCAAGAATGGGCATAAATACATAACCACCCTCTAAGGCTGCATCTCGTAAAAAGAGCATTGGAACCCCTAAGAGCTGCGCGAGCAGAGAGAGCATGACTTCAGAACTGATAACGTACTTAGGGCCAGTGGTTGACGTGGTGGTGAAGGCACCGGACCCCTCGGGGCCCCCTACGCGGTGTGAGTCCTGGACTCAGCGGCGTGAGAAATACGCTGGCCGTGCGTGTGCGTGTATGCCTTAAATCCCAGGAGGAGTGTGGAGGACTGACGTGCCCACCCCCGACAAGTCATTCCCCACTTTCCTCTCTCTCTCTTTCTCTGTCTCTCTGGAAAACACACATGCCATATACGGCAAGTTTGAAAAAATGTATTTTTTCAGCCAGTGTCTGCCGAGTGCCGTCTGTGGCACCAGCAGGGAGGCCCCAGGATCAGGAATACACAAAGCCTTGACCCACAGACAGCCCTTAGTATTGAGTGTGTCTGGCCTTGTGTAAGGCTCACCCCTTTCCCCATGGGGTCCACTTCCCTCTGGAGTGCGTGCCTGTGTGGGGGACCCCAGATGGCGAGAGGTCTTGCTATGGCTGATTGAGCTCCGCCGACCAAAGGCGTGCGGCCTCCTGTGTGGGAACTCGTGCATTTCTTCCAGGCCAGGCGTCTCCGCCACGAGTCCTGTGAGCCCCCCCTTGAGCCCGCTGTAGCCCCGCAGGCCAGCAGGTGGGCAGCGAGTTCTCCCAAAGCCAATGAGCAGTCGCTAGTTCAGGGAGATGGATCAGCCGCCCAGGTCGCTTCTCCTGAAAGCCGTCACCTACCCGAGAACCTTCATGACCCAGCAGGTGCCGAGGGCAGGGCCCGGCGTTGGCCCAGGCTGGGCTGACATCCATTCTCCCTGTTGTTCCAGGAATCACCCAGCGCTTCCTGCGAGCCATCTGGTGCACGGGCATCCTCTTCCTGCTGCTTCAAGGGGCTCTGCAGGCAGCCTTTCACTCCACGCCACCCAACGGTAACACCTGCTGGCTCCTTCGCTGCATGGAGGGAGCAGCGAGGCTAGCGGAGGATTGAGTCGTGGGAGTGGGATGGTGCAGTGCCAGCCCTATGTCTTCCATGACAACTGACTTCTTAAAAACACACTCCTCCCAGGGCCTGCAGGTGGCATGGTGATTAAGGCACTGGATCTCACTTGAACTCCATGGTTCGAGTCCCACACCTGGCAGTTTGCAAATCACTCCAGGCTTCTGTGCGTGCATGCCCATAATACCAGGGAGAAGAGATTGCGGTGTGGCCATCCCCCTGGGGAATGATTTCTCACTTTCCCTCTCTCTAGCTCTCTCCAGTGAGTACACGCGCCCTGTGGCAAAACCTAACAAAATGACACAAAACGCCCCCTTCTCTGATTTTCCGGCCCCTTCTGCAGAGTTGGTGTCCCTGCAGACTTTGGGCTGTAGCAGCTGAGGGGTGGGAGTGCATGGAAACCGTGCTTCCAGGCTTTCACAGAAAGAGGGTCTAGACCAGGGCCTACAGGCCGAGGGCCAAAGCCAGCCCTACCAGCTAAGAATGGTTTTTGCAGTTTTTAACCATTCTCTGAAAACCAAAGAAGACTTTTCTTGACATAGGACAATTTATTTACAGGAACCAAAGCTTGGATTTCCCGTAATGTCTTCGGGGCCCTCAGCCCAGCCCATTGGTGCACGTCTCACCTAGGACTGCCATTGTCGAAAATATTTACCATTAGTTCTTTACAGACGCTCGCTGTGGCCTGGTCGAAATCCGCGGGGCCTCCCGAGGCTCTATGAACTCCCTGGGGTTGTGTCCCAATGGGGGCCCCAACACTTCTCCAGAATGTTCAGTTTCCACCACTCTCAAAGTGGCCCAGGTCCCCGAGACACAGGGCTGCCAGGTTAGCAAGGTGGAAGTCCAGGACACCCCGTTACACCGGAATCACAGATAAACGACGACCGTGTGGAATTCCGTGTCTGCTGTTTGGAATTTTTCTCTGCCACCCCGCCAGAAGAGCAAGAGGGGCCCAGCCCTAAGTGTCCTCTCACGGCCCCTCCCTCCGATGCCGCGTGCGCTGTGGTGAGGAACGTGACATCCACTTCCTCCCATTTGATTTTTATGTATTTTTACTACATAAGCTAATTTCTGATTACAATAGAAATTTATGCTCGGTATGAAAAAATTAAATCCTGGATGAAACAGGCCAACACTGGAAAGAAACTGCTCCCCAACCCAGCCCCTGGCCACAACCTGCCTCCCCTGTGCTGTCTGGGGAGCACTGTCGGCCAGGGCTGCTGTCTTTGCTGTTCATGCCTTTCCCATGAACAGTGGTTGTTCTGTGTCAGTCAGTCTGTGAGGCTGCCTCCTGTGTAACTGTTGGCGTCCCTTAGGTGGACACGCAGTGCTGACCACACATGAGCCCAGCGAGGGCCGTTCCTGGGCCAGCCCCTGGACGCCTTACCCTGGTGACACGAACCCAGGAGACCTACGTTGCTTTATTTCGCTTTTTTTCCTCAGAGTTCTGCAGGCGCATGATGGACAGTGGGGTGCTGGGCTCGTGCTGGGGCCCCTCTCCCAGGCCCTCGTCCTGCACTGCCGCAGCCCTGGTTGCCACGCTTTGAAGAACGTGTCTCGTGGCTCCTCCCGGATTGGCCTGTTGTGGCTCGCTTGTTGGCATGCATACTTACTGAAGAGACAGAGAGGGAATGTGAAAAATCATCCCCTGGGGGACCGCCATGCTGCAATCCCTCCTCCATTCTCCTCTTGGGATCTTGAGCATGCACATGTGCCTGGTGTGGTTTTTTTCAAGCTGCTGGGTCCAGGACTTGAACCTCACAGTCGGCCATGTGGGATCCAACCACCTTAACCTTCATACCACCTGCTGATCCCTGTCCTGGACATGATTCTCAGGCCTCTTTCCCCGGGGATGGGCATTGAAAGCCTTCTTAGATTCACCACTCCCCCATCCTCCCTATGAAGCGCTTTGCCCTCCTGGTCCTGGGAATGGAGTGAGAGGCGGCTCCTGGCCCCAGGGGCCCCCTTCCCAGCCCCCCTCACTTCTGCCCTCCGGCAGTATTGCTCACGGCCAGCCCTCCCGCAGGACCAGGTTCACTGGGTGCAGCCCCCTGCCTGGGGGCCTCAGTGCATGGCCCTGGAGTGTGGGCAAAGGCCTCTCCCATGTCCACAGGGAGCCGTGGGCCCCAGCCCTGCTCAGCATGGGCCCGTCAGACTTGAGTCCATGACCCCACCTCTATTGCTTGGTTCTACTCACTGTTGCTCCAACAACGCTGCCCATGTCTGCCGAGTGCTGGGCATGTGCTGGGGCCGGCTGGGGCTGGGCTGGCAAGACAGTGCTCGGCCCCAGTCTCACCTGTGGCCCAGAGAAGACCTGAGGCCGGGCTGAGCCAGCATCTCTTCTGCAGGTACAGTTGTGGAGAAGGTCCTAGAGCATCTTGGAATCATTAGGTAAGACAGCCTCAGGACAAGGGGACCCTGGACAGCTACTGCGGGCTGCCCAGCTGGTTCCTGCTTATGAAGAAGCATCTGATGCTCGGCCCCACGCTGGGCCGTCCGGGGACAGCGTGCAGAAGGAGGCCCAGTTCCTCCTCGGAGGACCTGGCATGGAGGGCCCACGTGGACAGTGGAAAGACCCAGGCAGGCCACGGCCTGTGGCAGCACGACAGTGCTCGAGGGGGTCAGAAAGGGATGAGAGGGGTAAGAGGGGTGAGAAGGTGACCGCCACGGCCCAGGAAGGAGGTGCAGGGCATGTCCACTGTGGCTGGCCCGATCCACACGGTCACATAAAGCCATGCAGGGATGGCTCACTGCAGGGCTCGGGAGGAGAGGGACGGGGTGCAGGGAGGCAGGTAGCTCGCTGGGTCCTGGTCTGTGCGTGAGGGGCCAGGTCTCGAACAGGCGACTGGGGATGGGGGTGCACAGGCCTGCCGGCAGCGACAACACCCACGGTGCTACTTCACCCGCGGAGTTCGCTACTCACAGGAGCTGGGCTGTTATATCCCCCTTTCACGGATGAGGAGACCGAGGCTCAGCCATGAGGGTGGCGAGCAGGTGCCTCCTGGGCAGTGGGTGGTGGGTGGACGGCAGTCGCCTCCTGAGGCTGTGGCCAGGTGAGGGGGAGAGGGCAGGGGAAGGCCCCCACTGTGGCGCTTGCTGCTCTCAGGCTCAGCCGGGCGGATGCAGGGAACGTCCTACGCCTGCTGGCTCCCGACATCGGGATGGCCCTGCTGGGCCTGGTCATCTCCACACTGAGCCACAAGCTGGTGCGGCCTCCTGGGAACATGGCGTCTTCCTGTTCCAACACCTTGGGCCACGGGGCACAAGAGGTGGGTGGAGAAGAGGAGGAGGATGCAAAGGTGGGTGGGGTCTGGGACAATCTGTTCTCCCCAGGGCGAGGGGTGGGGGGACAGACCACGTGCTCCACAGAGTGCTGGGTGGCTGGGTGCTGTTTTCAGGGTACAAAGGAAAAAATAAGAAAAAGACAAAGACAAAGAAATGCCGTCCTTGGGACCAGCAGTTGGCGTAATGGCTATGTTGCTGGACTCCCATGTAGTCGACTGTGGTTCAAGTCCCGGACCCAGTGGCTTAAAACTCACACCGGGCACGTGTGCGTGCGTGCCCAAGATTCTGAGAGGAGAATGGAGGAGAAGGGATTGAAGTGTGGCCATCGCCCCGGGGGGTGATTTCTCGCTTTCTGTCTCTGTCTTTGTGGTGAGTGCACGCACCCTATAGCAAAAACCTCTCAAAAAAAAAAAAAAAAAAAAAAAAAAAAAA